GCGATGCTCGCAGTTTTCCTGAACAGACCGAGTACAGAATCCGGAATCTGAGCTCCACAGTCAACAAACGAAGGTTAGGGGTACTTGCCTATGCCAAGAAATCGAGAATCAGGTGAGCCGAACACTTTTTGCGATATTGTGATGATTGTTGGACGGGACCGTTACTGAATGCACCCCCGTCGGGATATTAAACAAACAAACACCAGGACGGCCATACTAGCGCGTTATCAGACTTCTTCATGAAAGCTCTGAACGAAATGAATGCTATGCCTCGTGTTCCAAGCAGAGGCGATCTACTGAGTCGCGACAGGAACGAATGGAAACGTTACTGGCGCCTACTTGAGGAAAGCGGTGATCAACGGGACCACTGGTGACACAGGTGATACAGGTGGAAGAAAATGCATGTGCAATACTAGCAGATCTTTACCAAGAAAGATACATGTGCAGCAGTTATCGATTCACTTGTACCAGCTATAAAATGCGTTATTAAATATGCGAGCAGAATGGCTACGAAGAGATGGATGATGTCATATCCTGAATTTTACTGAAGCTTCGTTAGTGTAGGTCACGGCGATGTGTTTTGCAATACTGTCAGTTAATAATTCGAATGTCATTGTGATGTGATTTGCATGGCTGCTAGAAAATAAACTTTTACTGAATAGAACTTGACTTTGCGAATGTTCTCAGTGAATGAAGAGTCAGCGGGATGAATTATTGAAAATGTGTCATATTATTACTGGATAAGACCATCACTACGAGGAACAATGAATTTTTGGCTGTGGTCCATCTTTTTCTATGGTGTGTCTACGAATTCATCTTCCACTGGAGTGAGTGCGTGTTTAGCCTATACACTAACTTGAAGGAGTCGTTCGACGTACAAATAAGAACTCTAGGCCTTTTAAGCGAGGCTGGTTCAGTTAGTCGACTTTGAAGAGGTGGAATAGCGGGTTAACTTAGGCAAGAAGAGATCCGGGAATGGAGACTATACATGTTGAAGGAGCGTTACAAGGCTTTTGAGCTTTTCCATCTGAGCATCTAGAATTGATCACCAGTTTCTGACCTACGGTATATTCGAGCTTCGAATTAAGTCATTTTGAGAATTCTTGCAAGGCGATTGATCATGAAACTTGAAGACTTTGAGCTTCATAGGAGAAAAAGTCATCCTTAGCTTCGCACTCAAATTCCCGGATCGGAATATCAGGGCTAAAGTCTATCCTCACCACAATGAAAGGCACTGTTCACGATAAAAAAGTTACTGAGTTTTTCCCT